ATGCACTAAGCTCCATTTGTAGTGTCATAATTTTGCCAAATATTGTACAAAAAATAGTTTTCCACAATAAAACCAATTCAATAATGTAACATGCTGCTTATTTGGACATTCTATCGATTGAAAATTCCTGTGAAAAAGGTCGATCTACAGTTATTTTTTTAAGAGTCTATCTACATTTTGTCGTATAATATAAATATCTCGAAAACAGTGGGAGCTAGACAGCTGAAATTTTGACTACTTATGTAACTTTAAGACATATGTTTGTGATAAAAATGTGAGCAGAAATGGATGAACCGTTTGAAAATTATTAACAAACAAAGTTCTAAAATGTCGATCTACAAAGTGAGTCAAAAGCCATACTCCGAAGCAATTATCTGTGTTTTTCGCTGTAAAGAAAACTCGTTTAAAAAATATTTTTTTACCATTTTGCTTGTATTTTCATGACCTTTCTATTGCGCACCTTCGTTTTCTTTCAGTTTTCACACGTAGCGAGAAGATGTAAAGAGAAGGTCGATCTACATGAAAATGACAAAGTGTCTATAATGGCGTATGTAGACTGGACGAATATAGAAAGGAAGAAGAAAAAAATATAAGCTGCATACCATGTGATAGAGCTTTTAAAGGGCTAGACAAAACGAACTATTCAATATATTTTTTCTCTGTTCTTTTATGCTCAATGAATCTCCTTCTCTGAGCACATATCCATGAAAAATACCATTTTCTCATAGTGTCAGAGTTCTTACTTCCCGACTATATGAGTTCGAGAGCTGAAATTTTGTATGTCAGTGGGAAGCTTAGAGACTAATAACACATAAAAAAATTATTTAAATTGGTCACTGAGGAAAAAAAATTATTCAAAAAATATAGCTAAAATTCAATCGTACCAAAAAGTTGCAATTCACTCGGGTATTATGTGACTAGGTGAGTGTGGGTGTGCGGAACCGAAGGCTAACAGCAACATTAACATCTATAGAAGAACTTCATTGTGACAAAAAATAATAATGGAAGGGAATGTAGTGTAGATGGAGATACACCTTATTTCATTTCTTCATATCATATATCGTCATCTGACGATTAATGATAGAAGGGTTGTTAGTGTGGATAGAGTTACACTTTATTTCATTCCTTCATATCATATAATCGACTTGTTTACATATAAAGCACACGTTTATATACATGAGTAGAACAAGCGGTGATGAAAAGAAAGAAGATGAGGCCAAGGAGAGAGCAACGTAAGAATAAAAAGATGATAAGGCCAAGAAAAGAGCACAATATAGACGAACAATATAGTAAGGGCATATGGTAAGAATATATAGGTGAGAATAATACATATAATATACGAATGAATGACGATATGGAATGAAAAGAAGGTTCAATCACGCATAGATGAACGTAACAGTAACACGATTATGAACACTACGTATCATTGAGTGTATAGCAACACACTGAGAAAGAAAATATATCACGTAAGATAAAGTGCCTGTTGGCACACTCCTACCTACACCCTCATTTGCACAAAGAATATATCGAAAAGCGACAACGTTCGGTGACATTGTTCTGTGAACAAAAGCATCATCATCTTTACATAGTGTGCTTGTAGTTGAAGATAACGTTATCTGACTCAACACCTAGATGAAATTTCTCTTGCAGCTACACACCCAACTCTATTTCGTAACGTTAGTTGAGATTAATGCACGACCATCGACATCGATTTCTATCGAATCAAATCTGAAAAAGGTTGAGATACTTTTAATGATAGCTATATACAAACTTCTAAATTGATAAATCTTCTGTCTAATTTATTCGATTTGGGAATTACATTTAACCTCACTTATAACTCTTGACTCTTTCTCTGAAATAATGCAATAACAAGTGATTTTATTTTAGGTGAGAAGTTTTATTTAGAAAAATTATTTGAACAAAATGGCTCAAGCATCAGCAATGAACAAGAATAATTCTGCTACAGTTGAACAACCTCTCGGAGAAATTGTCGCCGATTGTACACCTCGCGCTCGACCTGCTTCGAAGCCAGAATATCATCATTTTCAAGGTCAATATTGTCGATTAGAATTACTCACTTCTAATACTGACCCAACAATTATCAAACAACTCTATGACGCCTTTAAACCTACTGAACAAACTCATTTTACCTATCTGAAATATGGACCATTCAAGACCATTGATGAGTTTGTTGACTTCATTCGTACGTTGGAATCGTCTCCAAACAATATCGGACTGTATAGTGTCATTGTGAATAATCAAGCAGTTGGATTTCTCACCTACGCAAGAATCAAAGAACATCAAGCTGTACTCGGAATCGGACATGTTAATTTCAGTCAACAGTTGGTACGTACTCGAGCAGGTACTGAAGCAATATATTTGCTGATTGAACACGCTTTTGATACATTGAAATACAGACGCGTAGAATGGAGATGTAATGCATTGAATGCCAAGTCACGTCGGGCGGCTTTGCGCTTAGGTTTTCAATATGAAGGTACATGGCTGAAATCAGATATTGCTAAAGGTCGATCAAGAGACGACGCATGGCACAGTATTGTGGACGATGAATGGCCATTGCTAAAACAAGAATTCCAACGATGGCTGAGTAAAGATAATTTTGACGAAAATGGACAACAATTGACAAAATTAAATGCAGCACAAGTCAATCCGCGTAGCAAGAACTTAATGGCATGATCTAGAAATCGAAGTTACATTTGATGAATGATTTATGATCTGGTCACACAAGAAAAAACGAATATAATAGTGAATAAAAATGCTCATTCGGCTGCATAACTATATAGAGTGAGATAGATTTGGGGTAGGGTGTGGATGTGGGTGTGAAATGTACGGTGTGGGTGCGGGATGTGGGTGGGTGAACAGGTTACCACATCCTCGAGTTGCTTATCTTGAGCAACTTGATTGTGAAGTCTCTTGGAGAAAAAATCGTTGTTAGCTACATTAATAAAGTAAACATAATCTCGTAGGGCATTGAAAGAGGAATCAAATTAAAAAAAGATGCTTGCGAAGAGTAAGATTTGAAAGACACATTATCAAAAAACTCAGGATTACATTTATTTTGAGCCGCTGGATAGAATGACATTTTTGCAGAAACTTTTGCATAAGACTTTGCTTTACGACGCACGCAATTCTATACATTTCGGGTGGTATTTCACCAATAGAATGCATAGATCCCTAAGTAATCATAGGAATTAGATGGTATGTATTTTCACGATAAGTGGCATATAATATTCAATGCTTTATGTACCTCTTCGATCTAACTAAAGAGAAAAGAATATTTTTGCTTCTATTTTGATATTGCATTCGATTCCTCATTACTATTTTTGAAATCAACACGACTGTAGTGAAAATGTTCATGTTTGTCTTAGTACTATTGTGTCTGCATGTCTGAGCAGTAAGGCAACTATTTGGAATACAAGCTCTCGGCATAGACGTCTCACAGCATACGAATTTATTGCAATAGATTGGTGCCAAAATTGTTCGTATGTCAATGTCTTGATGATTATTAGAAGCAGAAGGTAAAGATAAATTTTCACCAGGATATGCTGAGGGTGTGGATGTGGGTGTGGGTGTGCGTGTGCGTGTGCGTGTGGGTGTGGGGGTGGGTGTACGTGTTGATGAGTGTCTTGCTTCTATTCACACCCACAACTACACTCACACCCGCACCCACACCCACATTCACACGCCCACACCCACACCCACACCCACACCCACACCCACACTCACATCCACACCCACACCTACACCCACACCCA